ACCAAGTTTTGTCACGATCATCTAGAATCTTTTTTCCATTGCCACTTTGTTGTTAAACAGACATTTTAGCGCCTCCTATAATATTACATATGGAGTTACACCCCCTGTAAATAGGTGATAAAATCAGCGATGGTTTTTTGTTCATGTGCTTTTTTGATAAAATAAAATTAATTCATCAATTTTCTTCACAAAAATCGATAAATATTATCGAATGCATCACAATGGTAGACAGTAGTATCGAAGGTTGGTACAAAATGACAAGTTTACTGAAGTTTATGCGAGACTTGAGTAAATAATTTTCGTTCGGAGCAAGATTCAGCAACGGTCAAATTTACCGAAGCAAGTATTGATGTTCGCTTCCAATGCATCCAAGCGTAATATTTAATTTATGTCAGCACAGAAAGCACCAAGATTTTTTTAAGAGGCCACTCCATTAAGAGGTCCGTTGTGAAAATTCCCTTGGGTGGCTGCTTAATGCAGATTCTACTGTATTCATGCATACCAGACCGTAACCTCCTGGATTACAGCCCCTGATTTTATGAGAAATCGTGTGTTTTTATACGCCCACATTTTCATGTGAATGTATTATGCCGTCGCCCCTGTCCATCTGGACGTCCTCAAATTGTTTGTGGACATTCTAGAGGTCACAATTTTTATCCGATTTTGACGAAACTGAAAATATAGGTCTATCTCACAAAGATCTCGGTTCCTTTCGATATTGGCATGTATTGGACCATAACTTAATAAATTATGGCCCCTGATTGTACATAAAATTATGTTTTTAGCTTGTGGACACTCTAGAGGTCACAAATAGTGTAAACATCTGGTATATCATGGTTATGGAGCCTCTAGAGGTCACAATTTTGATCCGATTTTGATGAAACTTGAACCCAAAGATCTTGGTACATATTTGTGCGTATTGGATCACAATTTCCTGAATGTACGAAAAATCGTGTTTTTAGCTTGTGGTCAATCTAGAGGTCACAATTATTATTTGATTTAAAAAAGATTTAGCTTGTGGTCCCGTAGAGGTTACAATTTTTATCTGATTTAAAAAAAAATGTGTGAATATATCACCGTTACACACTAAGATCTTGGTTCCTTTTGATAATCGCGCATATCCGAACACAACTTCCTGAATTATGGACCCTGATTGTTCGAAAAATCGCATTTTTAGCTTGCGGATTATCTGGAGGTCACAATTTTTTATCTGATTTTAAAAAACGTTTAAATATATCACCATTCCACCATAATGAAGGTTGAATTCAAATTTTGGGAAAATCGAAAATAAACTATCTGACAAAATGGCTGCTCTTTGTACAGAAATTGTGTAAAATTATGTATACGAAGGATGTGGACCCTGTAGAAGTCACAATTTTTATCCGATTTTGATGAAACTTCAACCATATCTTTATATCCTAAAAATCTGTCCCTTTTGATATTTGCACATTTCAGATCATAACTTTCTGGATTATTGCCCCAGATTGTTACAAAATGTGGGCGTATCCTGCCTGGCAGCTGCTGGTTTGGCTTGTGGACCATCTGAAGGTCACAATTTTTTTTCCTATTTAAAAAAACCAAACCGTTTAAATATGTCATAATGATGGTTGAAGCCCCCATGTCTCCTTCAAGAATATATAAACATTACTCGATAAACTTTTTTTTAACCCTATGAGCATCTCAACCCACCCATGTGACGGCTGAGTTCGAATTTTGTGAAAATCAGACCAAAACTGTCGCACAAAATGTCTGTCCCTTGCACACAAATAGTATAAATATATGGTATATCAAGGTTGTGGACCCTCTAGAACTCAAAATTTTTATCCGATCTTGATGTAACATGAAATATATGATTATATTCAAAAGATCTTGGGTTCTTTCTATATTCGTGCATATCGGACTGTAACTTCCTGGTTATGGCCTCTGATTGTACAAAAAATCACATTATTTTTTTAGCTTGTTCACTGTCCATCTCTTGCAAAATGTGGGAGTATCTTGGATGGCAACTGCTGGTTGACATTTTATTGTCCCCCACTTTTCGAAGAAAGCAGGAAACTATTAAAATGGGTCTGTTTGCCCGTCCGTCCATCAGTCCGTCACACTTTTTGGGTCACAATAACTCTCCTTCTAATTGAGCTAGAATGTTCACACTTGGTGTAGGTCAGTAATGGGATTTCAAAATTTTTCTTGTCGGACATTTTACTGAAAATAAAGGGGTATAACTCTTATCATTATTTAAGCAGAAGAATTCATACCACAATTAAAATTCACATGTCGTCAAAACATTCAAATCTGGTACATTATAAATATAGGTGAACCGCATTCAATTCATACAACAATTAAAAATCACATGTCAACAAAATATTCAAATCCCGTATGTAATAAAAATTGGTGAAATTTGCTATTTTTTACATTTAATTCCTGTACAGCATTCAAATTTATGTTGGTAACTGTCCTACAAAATTAAGCACTTTCGTAATACATTTAATGAAAGCTTGCCGATCCTGCTTCGGCATCAAATTCACAACCGTAATATTCCTTCAAAATTATGTGTCTTCGTTTAGACGGCAGCAAATGAATGCAGAACTTCCAAAATAAGAGGGGGGTTGGATGGCTGAATGGTTAGCGTGCGCGCGCTGTATCATAAAGTCTGTCATTGAGTCGACTGGTGTGGTTCCGAATCCCCGGTTGTACGTGGCAAGGAGTAGGGTCGCCTGTCCAACCTCATGGGTTTTCTCCAGGGCCTCCGGTTTCCTCCCACTGCTAAAGACCCCTACGCGCAAGCGAGTTATGTAAATAAAATTAAACCATATGTTAGTCCCGAAATGACCTAGTTTGTGTTGAGTGGACGTTAAACCCCATTTCTCTCTCTCTCTCTCTCTCTCCAAAATAAGAATAGTTTGTGATGTCAGAACATCGTTTTTTCTTTATAAAATGTCAACAAAATATTCAAATCCGTGCGTAATAGAAATAGGAACACCTCACTATTTTTCATATTTCATTCCCGTATGGTTATGGTATTCAAATGTATGTCAGTAATATTCCTCCAAAATTACGTGTTTTTGTACCTGCTTCAACCTCAGCCAATAATATTCCTCCAAAATACATGTCTTGGTTTATATGACAGCAAATGAAAGAAAAGCGTTCGTAATAATAATACTTGTGGTGATGACAAAACACTTTTTCCTTGTTCATAAGTCAGTATTTTAAAATTACATTGATAGTTAAATCACTCGTAAAAAGGCATAGCTAACTTCAGCGTATGGAATATGTGACTCACAGCACATAGCTTCATAGTAAGCACTGCCTTATATGTTAAGCAATTTTTGTGCGGCGCTTGAGATCACAGGAAAGTGCCACTGTTGATGAGCATTTCTAAATGGAGTCTTAAAAGACGTGAATGATATCGCAGACAAAATGCCTATCCATTGATTTAGGTTGTTATATACTCTTACGATATGTGACATCTATGACTAGTTTATAGATTCTGTTGGCTCACATCAATGCGATTAAAATGCCTGACAATTGAGAAACCATGAGGTAAACACGTGGATTAAAATTATAGTCACTCTTATTGGATTGATGAATAGTCTGACAAAGGGGAAGCAATGATTTCTGTTTAAGATTAGATTGATGAATTGTCCGATAAGGATTAAGTCAGTCGATCATGGCAGATTAAAGGAGCTAAGTCTCTAACTCAATATCATCCAAAATCTTCAACATTGAAAACACAATTTATTTGTCAAATTAAATCAACATTCATGTTGTGATCTTACCGGAAAAAGATGGGCTTTTGATATCCAATATTTAAGACAAAATAAACATTTTACCATTGGTACACGAATCGTGTACCATAATGCGCTTCAGCCCCAGTTGTATCAAGAGACTTGACGGACGAGGCTAGACACATTGCACCGAAATCAAACGGCGTATGTAGACTGGAATAACCAGACGCTAGAAATTTGCACTCGCTTGAGACTGCTGGCTTATTTCGCCGAACATAACTGATTTGAAATTGGAGTAAAAATGGAAACCATTGAATGTAAATCAGTTTATATACATTCATATTACAGTATTATATGCGTTGCGACCCACTTTTGTCAATTTCTAGGTCCAAAATGTTAGCGATTTAGCTCCTTTAAGTAGTTAATCAAGGTAGGTGTATAGACGGTATAACAAGGTAAATACGTTGATCACTTAATTTCCTAATCAATCCAGCTATCAATAACTATCCTTCTTATTGAGCTAGAATGTTCAAATGTGGGATTAATTAATGTGTCATCTATTTATTTTGGGATTTCGGCGGGGGACATCAGCCTCACTGTTGGCTTGTTTTTTTCTGTTTTTCTTAAATCAATTACATTTGAAAGTAATCAACACCAGGTTTGCCCACAATGTACTGAAATATTCAGTGTTTCGTATCAAAAGTATAAAATAGATAGGACTCAATTTAAAAAAGACAATCATCTAACTCAGTATCATCCAAAATCTTTGACATTGAAAACACGAATTATTTGTCAATTTAAATCAACATTGATGTTGTGATCTTACTGGGAAAGGATGGGCTTCTGATATCCAATATTTGAGACAAAATGAACATTTTAACATTGGTACACGAATCGTGTACCATAATGCATTTCAGTGCCATTTGAAACACGGGACCGGAAGAACTAGGCTAGACATATTCCACAAGTCATGTCAAACGGTGACGCCATATTTTCATCTGGAAAGCATGCGCAATAAATACTATCGGTGTAGGCTGGAATAACCAGACACTAGAGATTGCCATTTGATTGAGACATCTGGCATATATCGCCGAAAAAAACTGATTAGAAATTAAAGTAAAACAGAAATGATTGAATGTAAATCAGTTTATATACATTCATATTACATTATTATATGCGTTGCGACCCATTTGTGTCAATTTCTAGGTCCCAAATATTAGCGATTTAGCTCCTTTAAGCTATTGGCATTTTAGATAAATCTTATTTTCATTGTAGAACCCTGGTGAAGGTTATTATCGTGATAGAATCAATGGAACGTCATCAAGACCTGAAACCATCATAGGTGACGTTAAACCATGTCAATGTAACAATCATGCTGACAAGTGTGACATTGATACTGGAAAATGCATAGTAAGTTTTCTATTAATTTATAGAGATCTAAGTGGAGATCTTTTGTGTTCTTTAATTGTGAAACTTTCATACTTCGCTTTTTATATGCCCTTATTTTCATGTGGACTTATATTGTTTGTGGACACTCTACAGGTCACAATTTTTATCCAATTTTGACGAAACTTGAAATATAAGTCTATCTCCCACAGATCTCAGTTCCTTTCGATACTGGCATGTATCGGACCATAACTTCATAGATTATGGCCCCTGATTGAACAAAAAATTACGTTTTTAGCTTATGGACACTCTAGAGGTCACAATTTTGATCCGATTTGATGAAACTTGAAATGCATGTTTATAACCCAAAGATCTTGATTTCTTTCGATATTTGTGCATACAGATCATAACATCCTGAATTATTGCCCCTGATTGTTTGAAAAATCGCATTTTTAGCTTGTGGTCCCTCTAGAGCTCACAATTTTTATCCAATTTAAAAAAAACTGTTTTAGTATATCACTGTTACACCTAATGATGGTTGAGTTTGAATATTGTGAAAATTGGCACAAAACTGCCGGACAAAATGGCCGCCCCTCATACACAATTAGTGTAAGGCTGATTATCCCATGGGTGTGCAGGGGATCACGTGGCTAAGTGGGTAAGGCCCTGGCTCGCTAGCCTGGAGGTCGGGTGTTCGATCCCTGCATTGGCCGAGAAAGTTCATCTCGATTTTCCGGCGTGGTTTCCCCTTGTCAGAGATGCAGAAAGGAGGGCCTGACAAGGACAGCTGCCTAGTCGTTCGGACGGGACGAAAAACCGAGGTCCCGTGTACACTTTGGCGTGCATGTAAAAGATCCCTTGGCAGTTGGAATTCGATATAAGAGTAGGCCGTAGCGCCGCTGCCCGGGCAAAATTTCCCTCATAGCACACTGTATGGCGTATGCCCGTCTTCAATTAGCCCAGGTTAGGTGCAGAAGAGTAGGACGTTAAACCCCATTTCATTTCATTTCCCATGGGTGTGCAAAGTTGAATGTTTTTGTGTCACTCGAGTTTTTTTCTGTTTTTTTTTTCTTTAATTTTAAAATTTATAAATATTGCATGTAACTCCCCTTTATTTTTACAGAAAATTCGGATAAGAAATTTGGATTTATTTAATAGTTTATACATTTTTATACGTCCACATTCATAATGTGAACGTATTATGCCGTCGCCCCTGTCTGTGTGTGTGTGTGTGTGTATGTATGTATGTGTGTGTGTGTGTGTGTGTGTGTGTGTGTGTGTGTGTCTGTGGTTCGCCTACAGGGCGCAATTCTTCATGGATTTTCTTCAAACTTGGTATACTTATTCCTTATACCCCAAGGAAGATCCCTATTGTTTTTGGTGCATGCCCGACCCCCCGGGGCAGAGCCACGCCCATTTCTAGTATTTGTTTGTTTGTCGTCTACAGGCCACATTTCTTAACTAATAATCTTGAAACTTTGCATACACATTCTTTGTACCCTAAGGAACATCCCTATCGTTTGGGGTGCATGCCCAACCCCCAGGGGCAGAGCCACGCCCATTTTCTTTTCGTGTGTCTTTGTGTCGCCTACAGGGCGCAATTCTTACTGGATTTTCTTCAAACTTGGTATACTTATTCCTTATACCCCAAGGAAGATCCCTATTGTTTTTGGTGCATGCCCGACCCCCAGGGGCAGAGCCACGCCCATTTCTAGTATTTGTTTGTTTGTCGTCTACAGGCCACATTTCTTAACTTATAATCTTGCATACACATTCTTTGTACCCTAAGGAACATCCCTATCGTTTGGGGTACATGCCCAACCCCCAGGGGCAGAGCCACGCCCATTTCCCATTTTCTTTTCGTGTGTCTTTGTGTCGCCTACAGGGCGCAATTCTTACTGGATTTTCTTCAAACTTGGTATACTTATTCCTTATACCCCAAGGAAGATCCCTATTGTTTTTGGTGCATGCTCGCCTCCCCGGGGCAGAGCCACGCCCATTTTTTGTATTTGTTTGTTTGTCGTCTACAGGCCACATTTCTTAACGTATCATCTTGAAACTTTGCATACTTATTCTTTGTACCCTAAGGAACATCCCTATCGTTTTGGGTGCATGCCCAACCCCCAGGGGCAAAGCCACGGCTATTTTCTTTTTTATGTCTGTGTGTCGCCTACAGGCCACAATTCTTAATCAATCGTCTTGAAATTTTTTCATATGAATTGCTTATACCCTAACGATGATCCCTATTGTTTTTTTTACCCCCAGGGGCAGAGCCACGCCCATTTTCTTTTCTTTTTCTGTCTGTGTGTCACCTACAGGCCACAATTCTTAATCGTCTTGAAAAAATTTCATATGAATTGCTTATACCCTAACGATGATCCCTATTGTTTTTGGTGCATGCCCGACCGCCAGGGGCATAGCCACGCCCATCCATTATATTTATTTATTTGTTTGTCATCTACAGATCGCATTTTTTTATCGTATCACCTTGAAACCTAGCATACATATTCCTTCTGTCCTAAGGAACATCCCTATTATTTGTGGTGAATACCCAACCCCCAGGGGCAGAGCTACGCCCATTTTCTTTTTTTATGTCTGTGTGTCACTTGCAGACCGCATTTCTTAATCGATCATCTTGAAAACTTTTTTATACTTATTCCTTATAGCCTAAGGCTACTATTTATACTTATTCCTTAATCCTAAGGCCGACCTCTATTATTATTTTTGGTGCATGCTCGACCCCTTGGGACAGAGCCACGCCTAATGTTTGTGTGTCTTGTGTTTTGCCTACAGACCGCAATTCTTAACAGATCCTTTTGAAACTTTGCATACCTATTCGAAACGCCATGCTTTTAGAATAAAGACATCGATTGTTTTAAAATAAAATTGTGTTCTGTTAATGTGAACGAAGTGTTAAACTGATAGCAGTCCTACAACCCAGTTTTATTTCACAGACCCTCAATGCAAACTGGACCATATCAAACAAAACAGGAATGTGGACGTATATTGCTGCGTTAGCGATGCTCTTGTATAAGATCATACATGGGAGAGCTGGGGCCCTGTGGGTATGCTTTTCAATGTCACTTACACTACATGTATTTTTCAAATTGTTCTTTACTATATTGATCAAAAAAATAATCATGCCAATTAGGGCGCATAAGCATCTTCTAGGACTATTGTCAGATTCGGTATACAACAGAGTCGTTAAAATTCAAATTTTAAATTGTCACTATCAAAATGCTCAACACTGTAACACTGATAGTTTTCCCGCAACATAACTTATCTACTGAGGCGAGGGTCACTTCACCACGTGCCACCAATCATCTCTGTCAGTCTGGCCTGTCCAGCTTGAAAACAGCTCTGTGAATATTATAAGGTAAATCCAATCAAAGTTCTGATTTTGCTTGCGTGTATTAATTCATAATCAACACCGTAACGTGGTTTTCTTGCATTTGTAGTCGATTTGATCAGAAACAATGTATATATTTGAATTGGAAATGGTGTACTGATACCTAATATACGTTAACGGCGTTTCTCACACATGCGCTCTTGGCTCAAAACATCATAAACTCAATGGTTCTCAACACCGTAATGCTCAACTCCGTAACATTAAGTTTCGTTACGGTGTTGAGAAACCGATACGGTGTTGAGGTTTGGTTCACCAACGCTTAAATTAAATCTTATCTTATCAACATAATTATGTAGAATAACATGTAGTTCCTCTAATATTTCAACGGAGAGGATATTCTCCACTCGAATGGCAAACATCCTAGAACGATAAAGAAAGTTATTCGCCATTCATTTAATACAAAAAACTTAAAATTCGAGTAGATTGCTTGTGCTTTAATGGAAAATACAGAATCCGAATCCCTTTCTAATGGTCATTTGTTAATTGAAGGGTGATAATGTAAACAGACGTCCTCGTTTATTGCGAAGCGAAAGATAGAGAAACCAACATTTTGTATAGATGGGAGTAACATAAATGTGAGAAGTTTCATATTCTATGAAAGTGTGTATCTTACTAAACCAGGAACATTGTAAAACGCATTTATTTGTACTGTGTTGATCACAAATAAGGTAAACTACAAATCTAATCCAATTTCATTCTGTAGAGCGAAAAAGGCAGGTTCTATTGAAATGGGCCTGCCTGTCTGTCTGATCCGCCCATCCGGACTACCCATTTCATTGTCAACCTCAAATTTTATCTGCAACCTGTATATTTGATCTCTTACCATATATATTTCATTTACTACCAATCAGGGCCGTAACTCGCTCAGAGCAACGGGGGTGGGGGTGGGGGTGGTGGCAGTGGGTGGGAGGGGGAAGTATTCTCAGGGGTGCTGTAAAAATGACGGACAATGTATATCTAGGGGGGCTTCAAGAAAAAATTTCAAAATTGGAACTGCCGGAAACGCTATTTCCTGCACTCTGGACAGCCTCATCAATCGTCTTTCTCCCTTTCACACCGAAGAAATCGGTCAATTTTCATGCAAGACCCCTCATTTGAGGAAAACAGCAGAAAACCTCAAAATAGTCCTCTTTGAAGATCTGAAAAAGGTAAAAAATCCAGAAATCTGGATAAAATCCGTAAACACTGAGAATCCGATATCAAATATACCGATGAATTTTTTCACATGGGGCGATATTTTTTTATGGTCGACCAATTTTAGTTACGGGCATGCTACTCATATATTTCATTTCCAACCGTGTGTTTCATTTACCACCTGTATATTTCATTTACTTCCCATACATTTTATTTCCAACCGCATGGTTTTTATGCCAACCGTATAATTAATTAGTGTTAAATCAGTATTTTATCAAGATTTTAATGTGCTTACGGTAATATCGATCAAATATTCAACGAGTTTTGATTGTGTCTGGAATAAAATGTTCAATAAATTACATGTTCTTGAAAGATTTAATATATCAAAATGGCTATTGAATATATTTTTGTGTAAAATCTCTCATTGCTACTTTTTTTTAAAGTTAAAGAACCATTTTATAAGCGGACAGAAATATTAATCATGTTTTTATTGCGCTACATTTTAATACAATTACAAAATATGGAATGATTTGAGGTAAGTGGTATAAACTACAAATTACAGCAAAGAAATTATGACGATATAAAAAGAAATATTATTTTTGAAGTGTAATCCCCTTCATCTTTTCAGAAGGGTGAATGTTTTTGCGTTTTCTGGTTAATTTAAAATATTTTTTGACTATACAATACCGTTACGGTGTTGAGATTTTGTAAAACACGTTCCACTAAAAGCTTAATTTTTTGTCTTAAAATTCTAAAGACTGCATGTCAATTCATAACATAGGACGTAGAAGATACTAGTTGTCGAAACAAAGTCAAAAATGTATCGCTTCGAAATGGTTCGATAATTCTGAACTCTGATACCATGAGATAATTACCCGCAAACATCTAGTATATCAAAGTTGTGGACCCTCTAGAGGTCACAATTTTGATCTGATTTTGATGAAACTTGAATTGCATGTTTTTAACCCAAAGATCTTGGTTCCTTCCAATATTCTGGCATATCGGATAGTAACTTCCTGAATTATGGCCCTTGAATGTACAAAAAATCATGTTTTTAGCTTGCCGTCCATGTAGAGTTCAAAATTTTTATCCGATTTAAAAAGAACATGTGAATATATCACCATTACACACTAAGATCTTGGTTCCTTTTGATAATCGTGTATATCCTAACGTAACTTCCTGGATTATGGTTCCCGATTGTTCGAAAAATCGCATTTTTAGCTTGAAGATTCTCTAGAGTAGGGTGACCCACCATAAATAAATATCTCCATATATCTCGACAATTTCGCCACAATATTTATATATATGCCAAGCCTCAAATCAGTTTCACACAATTATAGTCACTAAATAAACGATCATGTTGTACTTAATAAGCTATGACCATTAATCATCTATAAATAATAGACTGAAAACTGGTTCCATGTGTCGTCCATAACATCCAGACACTTGTGAGTAAAAGATAGGTTACGTGCCCTTGTTTTGAAATTAGAGTCGCTTAACCAGTCTATCGACCATTCTAAGGCTGATTGACAGGTCGGGATTGAATTAAGAAATGAGCACGTTAGCTAGCTCAACAATTGTTTTAAGAAACTTGTAAAAGTAAAATGAAACTACTGCTAGTATCATGTTCCTGTCTAACCCGAGTGTTTCAGAGATAGTATTTGTACTAAACCAAAAGATGCCGCTCTTAACGGTACAGTTAATGATAAAGCGATTTAAAAAATGAAACGAACGTAATTTCTAAATCTGCTGTAATAACCAAGAAGCTTAATTTTACTGCTATTCAAAATCGTCAACAATAAATTTTTTACGGCTGTAATAGTTGATAGATTTGTAGAGAATTGCACGTGCCATGGCTATTTATAGTATCATACTGTCAGAAAGTTGGCCTCGACACGGCGAATGTGCACGCTTCAGTGGTAGTCTCGAACTATCAGCGGTTGACTGTATTTCTGTAGGTGCATGGGCCACCCTATCTAGATGTCACAATTTTTTTTCCGATTTTAAAAAATGTTTAAATATTTCACCATTCCTCCATAATGAAGGTTGAATTCGAATTTCGGGAAAATCGAAATGAAACTGCCCGACAAAATGGCCGCTCTTTGTATGCAAATTTTAATAAAAGTATGCAATACAAAGGTTGTGGACCCTCTAGCGGTCACAGTTTTTATCCGATTCTGATGAAGGTTTTATTTTATTTATATCCCAAAGATCTCAGTCCCTTTTGAAATTTTCGCATTTCAAACCAGAACTTTCAGGATTATTGCCCCTGATTGTACAAAAATTCTGTTTGTTTTTAGCTTGTTCTCTATCCATCTCTTGCAAAATGTGGGCGTATCCTGCCTGGCAGTCGCTGGTTATCCAATTTTGATGAAACTTAAAACATATCTTTATATTCTAAAAATCTCAGTCCCTTTTGATATTTGCGCATTTCAGACCATAACTTGCTGGATTATGGCCTCTGGTTGTACAAAAAATCGTTTTTGTTTTAAACTTGTTCTCTATCCATCTCTTGCAAAATGTGGGCTTATCTAGCCTGGCAGCCACTTGTTTTTATACGCCCACATTTTCATTTGGACGTATATTGTCGTCGCCCCTGTCCGTCCACAATTGTTTGTGAACGGTCTACAGGTCACAATTTTTATCCGATTTCAATGAAACTTGAAATATAGGTTTATTACCTAAGATCTCGGTTCCTTTCGATATTGGCATGTATCGGACTGTAACTTCATGGATTATGGCCCCTGATTGTACGAAAAATCACGTTTTTAGCTTGTGAACACTGTAGAGGTCACAATTTTTATCCGATTTATTTTAAATTTGAAATGTATGATTATAACCCAAAGATCTCAATTCCTTTCGATATTCGCGCATATCGGTCCGTAAATTCCTGAATTATGGCCCCTGATTGTACGAAAAATTGCTTTTTTAGCTTGTGGACCCTATAGAGGTCATAATTTTTATCCGATTTAAAAAAACGTATTATTATATCACGATTAAACCCTAAGGCCAGCTGAATTCGAATTTCGTGAAAATCGACCCAAAACTGACAGACAAAATGGCCGCCGTTCGTTCTCAAATAGCGTAGAAATATGGTATATCAAGGTTGTGGGCCCTATAGAGGTCACAATTTTTATCTGATTTTGTTGAAACTTGAAATGTAAGTTTATAGCCCAAAGATCTCGGTTCCTTTTGATATTCGCGCATATCGGACCGTAACTTCCTGAATTATGGCTCCTGATTGTACGCAAAAAATTGCGTTTTTAGCTTGTGGACCCTATAGAGGTCATAATTTTTATCCGATTTAAAAAAACATATTATTATATCACCGTTACACCCAAAGGACAACTGAGTTCGAATTTCGTGAAAATCGGCCCAAAACTGACAGACAAAATAGCCGCCCCTCTTCTCAAATAGCGTAAAAATATGGTATATCAAGGTTGTGGACCCTATAGAGGTCACAATTTTTATCCGATTGTTTTGAAACTTGAAATGTAAGTTTATAATCCAAAGATCTCCGTTCCTTTCGATATTCGCGCATATCGGACCGTAACTTCCTGAATCATGGCCCAAGATTGTACGAAAAATCACGTTCTTTTTAGCTTGTTCTCTATCCATCTCTCGATGGTTGTTTTGAACTGTAGAACTGTTGTTTTATAAAGGAAAAATATATTCTGACTTGAGTATATTGAAACTTATTATTACTGCTTACCTGTATTTTTTTTCACAGAACTGTGCTGACAATACTTATGGTAAGAATTGTGAGTTATGTGCCCCTGGTTATCATGGTATATCAATACGTGGTACATCTAGAGACTGTGTACCATGTGCTTGTCCTGGTACTGACAAACAAAACAAGTAAGTACAAAGTAATAAACAACATTTAATTTTTTAGTTATATTATAAGCCTTTTTCATGATAATTTGCTTGCTATACTGAATCTGAGAAAAATATCAATATATTTCTAATTGGTTCGGAGCCAAGAAGACTCAGTGAGTATGGCACAGGCTCACTAGTCCGTGGTTCGATCCCAGATTTGTCAGTGTGGTTCCCTTTGTCAGTGGTGCCCAGCCTAGCACTGAACAACATCTAGTCGTTCAGATGTGCCAAAAAAACAGTGGTGTAAGGAACCTTTGACAAATGGAATTTTACAGGTAGGCCGAAAAGCTGCTGTCGAGTCAAATTTCCCTCAAAGCATGCTACATGGCATATGCCTGTCTTCATGAACCCAGCTAGGACGAAAAATCAGAATGTTAAACACCATTTCATTTCATTTTTACTTTCATTTTGTTGTTTTTAACAGTTTTAGTCCTACGTGTGAAAGTCGTAATGGTAAATTGATTTGTACCAACTGTTCATTAGGTTATGAAGGAGAAAGATGTGAAAGGTAAGGTTTTATCTAACTAGTTGATGCTTTCAATATATTCCTAAAGTAGCAGGATGACAAACTCATTACAAAAGTGTTGATAAAAATGATATAATCATAGATAAAACTTTACCTTGAATAAGCCACTGTAATACTTTTCCATTGATATGTGTGTTTCCTATATGAAATTACTTTTAAAAATTTTATCATTCAGACATTTTATTATACATGTATAATGTTCATAATATTATTATAGATGTATAACAAATGAAATGAAATGGGGTTTAACATACTACTGTTCTACTTCGACTGGCCTATAGATGTATAACAGGATATTATATTTATTGTCCCCCCGCCTATTAAAATGGGACTATTAAAATGGGTTCGTCCGTCTGTCTGCCTGTCACACTCTTTGGGACACAATAACTCTGTTTCTGATTGAGCTTGAATGTTCAAACTCGGTGTAGGTGTTTATTGGGTCAATGGCTTGATGGAGTTCGAAGATGAGCATTTTCTGCTTAGGGTATGCAGAGATAAGCAATTTGATTGGTTGATACTTTGGGACATGATAACTTTAGTTCTAATTATGTAAGATTGATGAAACTTGATGTATAGTTTCATTACATCAATACCTTGACTAAGTTCAATAATGGGCATTTTCTGCTCAGGCTAAGCAGAGCGATAAGCAATTTGATTGGTCGAGACATTGGAACACAATAATTCGCATTCTAATTGATGTGGAATGTTCAAACTTGCTGTAGGCTTTCATTAGTTGAATGCCTTGACTGAGTTCGATAATGAACATTTTCTGCTGAGGGTAAGCAGAGCGATAAGCAATTTGATTGGTCGAGACTTTGGAACACAATAACTCTCCTTCTAATTGAGGTAGAATGTTCAAACTTGGTGTAGGCATTCATTAGGTGAATCCCTTTATGCTTACAGTAGGCAGAGATAAGCAATCTGATTGATTGATGCTTTATGGGCCCGATAACTTTGGTTATAAAGAAGTAAGAGCGATGAAACTCTGAATATAGATTCATTATATCATTACCTTGACTAAGTTCGATTGTGCGAATTTTCTGCCTGGGCTAAGGATTGATAAGCAATTTGATTGGTCAAGACTTTGGAACATAAAAATTCTGCTTTTAATTGAGGTAGAATGGTTAAACCCAGGGATCTTAATCGGCTGTTTTTTGTCGGCTTTAGCCGATTGATCTTTAATCTAGCCGATTGGTAAAACAATGAACCGGCCACTAAGGTATCACAAATCAATCTACTTTCGGCCGATTTACAAAGAATTAATTATCAGGCCGATTGGTAAAACAATGAACCGGCCACTATCATAAATCAATCTACTTTCGGCCGATTACAATTTTAAAGAGTTAATTATTACTCGTCGATTAACCCTTTCACTGCGTATACCCGGTAGTACCGGGTATTATAAAATGTCGGTAAAATACGCGTACCCGGTATTACCGTGTACTCAGTAAAGCCCTCGCTAAAATTAGTACCGTAACTGCAAGTGCCATCTATTGTATTTTCTATACACTAGAACATATTTCCACGTGTTTCAAAGCGGCAAACCGTAAAATGGCGGAGTGCATAGTGACAACGTAGACGATGCACTCTCCACGAAGTCGTGAATGACGTCTTGCTGACCAACACGTGGACAATTTCGAGGCGGGTGATACACATAATTCGTTTCCAGTTACTTGATAATGATAGTAGTCAGGACAGTGATTGGTATTATGAAGTGTGTGATTTGTTGCGCGACGTTCCGCCCATGGCTATAGCTATGTCTCCCGTGCATGATGAACAAGCCCAATGTGAACACGATAGCCCTGTGTCTGCAGTAGATTCTGACAATAATTCTGATGTTGATAATAATGCCGGCCTGCTGGATCGTAAAAGACGTAGGCAATTCCTGAGTCCCGAACGTGTAGATCTATTGACTGACTATATTGATAATGATATGGGACTTGGGGATGAAAGTGAAAGTAAAAACAAGGTATTGCAATCCGCCCGTGGTCATGGCAGCGGGAGACTTTATGCGCGTGTTCGTGGCTGCATTGCTCATGGCTGCTATTGATATTTTTGTTCATTTTATATATCTTTATCAAAATCCAGTGAAAAAAACAATATCTTTTAAGTATTTCATGGAGAAAAATTCGTTTTCGTGTTAGCTTTAGTGAGAAATGAGAAATCCAAAATGGCCGCCATGACGTCACGTGACTACATTATTATGCAAATTTCCAAAATTCTATTTTTTTCTCTTAGCCCAACCTCATGCCCATCCCAACAGACAAAAAGATTTTTCATAAAAGCTTCCATAAGTACTGCTTGGCATTCAGTTCCAACCTCCCTTTTTTCCTCAAAAAAGGGTCTAGCACAGGCAGTGGATTTACGTCTAGCATTGAAAGGGTTAAGAAACCCATCAAAGAGTCAATCATTACAATGAATAACTTCGGCTTATTTCATAAATAAACAACTAAATTGAGGTAATCATGCCAAGTACTTGAACACCTCACAGAATGACACCAGGAAACGTAAACGAGATTTAACTGAAGATAGAGATGGCGGCGTTGACCTTGAACTTCAAGCATGCACGTCGTCAATGGAAATTCCAAAAGCCGGAGATCCTCCCAAGTCCAATATAGGTCAACCAAATTATCTGACGATCATACCTACGTAGCAAAGAAAGACGATGGCAGAACAAAGAGTTTAATTCCTAAATCTATAGAAATTATTTCAAACCGGGCGTTAATCCAAAATGCGTATTTCATAGCAAAAAGAAACATTGCCATCGAAAATTATGATTATGAACAATAATTGAACGATTTGACAGAACGGGACATGAAATGACAAAAAAATTATATCGTGATTTTAATTATTGTGGTGAATTTATTTCTTTAATATTCAGTGAAATTGAGGAAGAGATCCTCTCAGATATCCGAATGAGTCCTGCTGCGTATACTGGTAACACTAAAAATAAACTAACCCGAATCACGACAATTGGCCACGTGACCTTTCGTACGTACAGCATATTTCCGAGTTCCGACTACACGGAAACTGATTTTTGCTACTTTGTTATTTATATACTTTTTAATTTTTATATATATTAACATGTGCTTACGAATAATATAATTTAAAAAAAAAAACATTTGTATGTACTTGTAGTTTTTACTAATTTATAACTTCCGTTTAGTTGGATGAAAGCAAAAGTAGGAATATGCAATGCAAGTTGCTGAAATAATAATGACTATAAATGTCGATATTATAGCGATGTATGGATACAAGTATGCAATTATAAAGGTCCTGTTTATTCGGAGTTTCAGCTATTATTATCCCGAATACGTTATGCAATTAGTGAATTATGCAATTACTGTTTGTTGTTGAAAAGACGACTATCCGTTAGGCCTACCCGTGGCCGGTTCATTTCAAAATGGATTAAGAACCCTGGTTAAACCTGATGTAGATGTTCATTATATAGGTGAATGTCTTGACTGATTTCAATGATTAACATTTCAAGCTAAAGCTTAGCAGAGCTTTGGGACAAGATAAACTTGATTCTATCTGATAGAGAGTGATGAAACTTAGTGTGTAGTTTGATTGCTCGATACTTTTGAAAAAAATAAATGTGCAATTAATTAATGTGTGTCATCTATTTATTTTGGGATTTCGGCGGGAGACTTCAGCCTCACTGTTGGCTTGTTATTATAGGTGTTTAACAAGATATTATGTTTATTATTATAGATATGTAACACGATATGATGTTTATTATTATAGATGTATAGGCTAACAAGATATTATTTAGATGTATTACAAGATATTATGTTTATTATTATAGATGTATAACAGGATATTATGTTTATTATTATAGATGTCCTACTGTTTTGCTCCTATACTGGGCTAATGAAGACGGGCATACGCCATACAGTGTGCTATGAGGGAAATTTTGCCCGGGCAGCGGCGCTACGGCCTACTCTTATATCGAATTCCAACTGCCAAGGGATCTTTTACGTGCACGCCAATGTGTACACGGGACCTCCTTTTTTCGTCCCATCCGAATGACTAGACAGCTGTCCTTGTCAGGCCCTCCATCCTGCGTCACTGACAAGAGGAAACCACGCCGGAAAATCTGAATGAACTTTCTCGGCCAATGCAGGGATCGAACACCCGACCTCCAGGCTAGCGAGCCAGCGTCTTACCCACTTAGCCACGTGATCCCCAGATGTATAACAAGATATTATGTTTATTATTATGGATGTATAACAAGATATTATGTTTATTATTATAGGCTCGCTAGCCTGGAGGTCGGGTGTTCGATCCCTGCATTGGCCGAGAAAGTTCATCCATATTTTCCGGCGTGGTTCTCCCTTGTCAGTGATGCAGGACGGAGGGGCTGACAAGGAAAGCTGTCTAGTCGTTCGGATGGGACGAAAAACCGAGGTCCTGTGTACACATTGGCGTGCAAGTAAAAGATCCCTTGACAGTTGGAATTCGATATAAGAGTAGGCCGTAGTGCTGCTGTCCGGGCAAAATTTCCCTCATAGCACACTGTATGGCGTATGCCCGTCTTCATTAGCCCAGGTTAGGAGCAGAAAAGTAGGACGTTAAACTCCATTTCATTTCATTTATTATTATAGATATACAGTAGATGTATAACAAGATATTATGTTTATTATTATGGATGTATAACAAGATATTATGTTTATTATTATAGATGTACAGTAGGATATTATGGTAATCCATCTAAACTGGGTGATGTATGTAAACCATGTTTATGTAATCCTGAAGGTTCGGTATTTCCTGAATGTGACCGTCTTTCAGGTAAATGTCATTGTTTACCTGGTATTGGTGGATTGAAATGTAATCTGTGTGAACCAGGGTATGCCGTGCAAAATGGATCTTGTACCTGTAAGTATTAATGTTTGATACAATTTATAACTTACTTATAGATATAGGAAACCATATTTAATATAGATATAACTGTGAACAATGAATTCATAAGAATAGTCACATTTGTTAATCTTATTAAAATGATCATGTATTTTCCCCATTTCAGCTTGTTTTTCTGGTTGTACTGGTCTATTGTTGTCAGATTTACAAGACTTTAACGTCACGTTATTACACTTTAATATTTCTGTACCACTTCCTTGGAATCAACTTCATAAAATAAAAAACACAACCTATATTTTAGCGGTAAGAAACTTTTATTAAAAATTAAATTCTATCCTGTCCATCTTCCTAAGCCATATTGAGGAGTTTTATGTTGTGAACAGGGCTAAATGACAGCCCCATTACCTAGATTCTGTATTTTCTTATTTATTTATTTATTTATTCTTCCAAGAGGCATATCATACATGACAATATAGATGATCATATGAAGTTACATGATAATAAGATGAGAAAGTTTTGATGAGAGAAAAAGTAATGATGTCATGGATGACCAGCCTCTTGAGGATAACCCATAAAAACCTGCTTAAAATAAAACTAGGTTTATTTCCAATGGGGTCCTTGGAGGAGGATCAGGTTATGTCATCATAGAGGGGCAGATTCATTTATGAAAGATGAAGGATGGAATATGACAATAAATAGTGAAATGTGTGTGTACCATAAGGGATGTGAAGTACAAAGAGGTATGAAAGACATCGGGGTATACATACATAAACTAAAACATTTGTATTTGTTTTGCTAGCAAGTGTTGTTTAACATTTTTCTTAAAAGTGCCAATGTTCTCTATTGATTTAAGTTGGTTTGGAAGTTCATTCCAGGCCTGAATACTTGAATAGTAGAAAGTTGAGTATTGGGTATTATTTTTGCATTTTGGTACAACATAATTATAAATGCTTGATCTAGTACTATGTAGATGAGCATCCCTCACTAAGCGAAAATTGGCTTTCATGTACACCGGAGACACATTATGAAAGATTGATATGATAGATATGATAGAGGATTCAGACTTACCCCAGTATACCTGTGTTATATTAAGTTTTTATGTTTATTTATTTTGACAGGAATTATTGAAATCTGCTAATTATCAAGGATCGAAAGAATTTGCAGAGTATGAGAATAGTACAAAATTCTTTGAAGAGGTTGCTATGAGGCTTATTAATAGGGTATGTGTACATAAACAAATCTTTACCTTCATTTTTTATATGCCCACATTGAAACATGGTCGATATTGTCGTTGCCCCTGTCTGTCGGTCTAAAGGCTAAAGTTAATATCCAATTGACTTTAAATTTATACACAGTGTTTAAGGTCATGAGACGAAGAAGCCTATTGATTTTCAGGAATTTCCGATAATTACTGCCAGAGTTAAGGCCCTTGAGGCTAAAGTCAAAATCTGATTGACTTTAAACATATACACAGTTTTCAACGATTTTTGATAATTACTTCATGGGTTATTACTTGTAATCAGATTTTCAAATTTTCTCATTACTGACAAAAGAAAAAAATATGCGACAACCCTCGTTGACTCCCCGGATGACTTTGCTGCTGTGGGAGGATGTTTCGTTGCCTGGCAACCTATCTTTAGGACTTGCTCTGATTCGTTTTTTTTTATACGCCCACATTTTCATGTGGACATATTATGCCGTCGCCCCTGTTTGCCTGTCCACAATTTGTTTGTGGACACTCTACAGGTTACAATTTTTATCCAATTTCGACGAAACTTAAAATGTAGGTCTATATCCCAAAGACCTTGATTTCGACGAAACTTAAAATGTAGGTCTATCTCCCAAAGATCTTGGTTTCTTTCGATATTGGCATATATCGAATGATAACTTCATGGATTATGGCTTGTGGACATTCAAGAGGTCACAATTTTCATCTGATTTTGATTAAAACTTGAAATACATGTTTATAACCCAAAGATTTGCCCATATCGGATTTGCCCATATATGGTATATCAAAGTTGTGGACCCTCTAGAGGTCACAATTTTCTTCTGATTTTGATGAAACTTGAAATGTAAGTTTATAACCCACAGATCTTCGGTTCCTTTTGATATTCGAGCATATCGGACAGTAACTTCTTGAATTATGGTCCCTGAATGTACGAAAAATCACGTTTTTAGCTTGTCGTCCCTCTAGAGGTCACAATTATTATCAGATTTACAAAAACGTTTGAATATATCACTGTTACACAGTAATGATGCTTGATTTCGAATTTCGTGAAAATTGGACTAAAACTGCCGGACAAAATGGCCGCCCCTCGTACGCCTATAGTGTAAAAATATGGTATATCAAGGTTGTGGATCCTCTAGAGGTCATAATTTTGATCCGATTTTGATGAAACTTGAAATACAAGTTTATAACCCAAAAATCTTGGTTCTTTTTAAAATTTGCGCATATCTTATCATAACTTCCTGAATTATGGCCCTTGATTGTACGAAAATTTTTTATCTGATTTAAAAAAACATTTGAATATATCACCATTACAAATTAATGATGGCTGAGTTTGAATTTCGTCAAAATCAGACCAAAATGGCCGCCCCTCGTACGCAAGTAGTATAGATATATCGTATATCAAGGTTGTGGACCCTCTAGAGGTCACAATTTTGATGAATCTTGAAATACATATTTGTGACCCCCCATGGCATAATGAAAGCCTCAATCGATCTTTCTGAAACTCCTGGATCGTAAAGCCATATTGTCAGAGCGTTGGATAAAGCAATTTCAACAACGAAATGTAAACCGGAAGTAGTCGAAATAATGTCCGATATTTTGAAAAAAACACAAAAAATATGTGTTCTTTTGCGTAAAAACGTGATTTCTCCGTCCAATATCAACGGATTAAACAAATTAATGTATCTTCAGGTGACACGATGATTGGAGTGTCGTATTGTACCCAATTCATACGGATACTATGACCAGGCAGCAAAATATGGCACTCTAAAATAAGGTATTTTCTGATTTGGACGCCTTTATCTCAAAAACTTAACCTACAATTTTATTTTAACTTTCACCATCAAGAGTCCATTGTGCATGAAGCCATCCAATAAGACTTTGAAATGTCTGACCTAATTACGATTCTAACGATGTATAATATGTATTGAGTTATTGGAATTTAATTTTCGATATTTTGACATTTTTGGCACTTTTGAACATAGGATTTCTCAGGGGCATTTTATCTGATCAGATAATGTAATATATCATTACAGAGCCCTGCGGATATTTAATTGTCCAAACCTGTTATTAAAACTATCCCGACAATAATCTCCATACCTAAAGTATTCCAAAAATCAAAAAAAAAAGGTTAAAAAAATTGGCGCTCTTGCGAAAAACTTGATTTCTACAGGTCACAATTCTTATCCGATTTTGACGAAACTTGAAATATAGGTTTATCTCCAAAAGATCTCGGCTGCTTTCAATATTGGCATGTATCGGATCGAAACTTCATGGATTATGGCCCCTGTTTGTACGAAAAATCACGTTTTTAGCTTGTGGACCCTTTAGAGGTCACAATTTTAATCTGTTTTTGTTGAAACTTGAAATGTAAGTTTATAACTCAAAGATCTCGGTTCCTTTCGATATTCCCGCATATCGGATTGTAACTTCCTGAATTATGGCCCCTGATTGTACGAAAAATCACGTTTTTAGCTTGTGGACCCTATAGAGGTCATAATTTTTATCCGATTTAAAAAAACGTATTATTATATCACCGTTACACCCTAAGGATGGCTGAGTTCGAATTTCGTGAAAATTGGCACAAAACTGACAGTAAAAATGAGCGCCCTTTGTTTTTAAATAGCGAAAAAATATGGTATATCAAGGTTGTGGACCCTATAGAGGTAACAATTTTTATCCGATTTTGTTGAAACTTGAAATGTAAGTTTATAACCCAAAGATCTCGGTTCCTGTCGATATTTGCGCATATCGAATTGTAATTTCCTGAATTATGGCCCTTGATTGTAGGAAAAATCACTTTCTTTTTAGCTTGTTCTCTATCCATCTCGCGAAAATGTGGGCGTATCCTGCCTGGCAGCCGCTGGTTTCATTTTATATATCATGTAGCTGCTTACATATGGTACAATGCATAATAGAATAAAGTCATTCTCATACACTAGCCAGACTCGCTGTTTGAGTCTGCTGATAGAAACTGCTACATCTTTTCCCTTCCAGAATCTGTCTGTTGTCTGACAATCGCCCCCCAATATGATAATTTTGTAACTTTGGGCTTTGGACGTTCTATTATCTAAGTGGTCAAATATGATGTAAATAATTACAGAGATTGGTCAAACTAAACCAAATGACGCAATAGGTAAATTTCCAGTCACATGTTTTTTGACACAATCTATCCTTGAACTTAGACCCTCTTTCCTGTTATTATCACACTATTCATAAACAATTAATTTGCGTTTTAAATAAACTCATACCATAGCTAATATACTGACAATAGAGAATAATTTGTTAAGATAAAAATATTGTTCAAACCATCTTATATCTCTATTCCTTGTCTATGAATTTAAAAACAATGTCGCAACGACGATATTACTACAGATGTTAGCGGACAAAAAGAACTAAATTGTTGTTGGATAGCCCCATTAATGGACTATCATATGACATCTGAATGATACGATTTCGATGGTTAGAAAATAAATTATGGTACACCTAAAATCTAGTATTTTCGTTTCGGAGCCTTTTGAGACACCAATTTCTCGAAAACGACATCTACGATTTTTCTTAAACTTTTTTTACCCAGAGTCCTATCGGTGGTCTATGGCGTGAATCCCAAATAAAAGCATTGAAATAATATAAGTGGTCCAAAAAGAGCCTCGATCTTTGGAAAAAGTAGAAAAATCCTTAAATTACTGAAAATGCTCTTCTATTTTTCTTTGTTTTGAAAACAGCTCAATGGATGTTTCTGAAACTTCTGGTACAAAAAGTTATGTATCCAAACAACTTGTTCAAACTATTCCGACAATGATCCAAAAACCGGAAGTAGTCGAAAAAATATCCGATATTTTGAAAAAAAAAACCAAAAAGTAAAAAAAATGGTGATCTTGGGGAAAAAAGTGATTACTATGCCAGATTTCTCCGAATCAAAACAACCAAAGTATCATTGGATAGCCCGAATAATGGACGATCTTATAACATCCAAATGATACACATTTGCTGGTTAGGCAATCTATTATGGGACGCTGAAAATCTAGTATTTTCCTTTTTGGAGCCTATTCAGACGCATTTAACTCAAAAACTACTCTTATTACATTTCTTAAACTTCTGTTACTTAGGGTCCTAACAGTGGTCTAGGAGGTGAATCCAAATTTGAAAGCCTCAGTATGATATAGAAGGTCCAAAAGTGGCCCCAATCTCTGAAAAAAGTCGAAAAATCATTAAATTATTGGAAATGCTCTTCTATTTTTTTTTAAACTGCTCAAAGGATGTTTCTGAAACTTCTGGTACAGGAAGTTAAGTTCCCATTCCACTTGTTAAATCTATCACGACAATGATCTGTAAACCAGAAGTAGTCGATAAAATATTCGATATTAGATTGATTCCTGGATTTGAATGATTCTCTGTCTATTTTGTAACACGTGTGCAATGCTCATGTGTAAAACATGTTTAATGATTTCATTGTTACCGGAAGGGACATAAGTTCAAGGGTAACTTGGCATCGGAAGTGACACAAGTTCAAAGGTAATGTGGCACTGCGTCGCAGTTCTAGTTCTTATTTTTACACTTGAGCATATCTTAGAAACTACTTGTTGGATTGATTCGATGTCTTCTGGTTAACTGGGAATGTGGGTGTGGCTTAGAGATTAAAAGCTATTTCGGACATTCTGTGACAATGCAGGATTAAAGGGTCATGTTATTTGAGCAAAAATGTGAACAATTTTTGTCTCGATAATTTTCCTTGGCCGCTATTGGATAATTCAGTTTATGGGTTCTATGTTAATTATTTTTTACAAAAAAATGTTTTATTTATGAATATTTTTATGTGATATTTTACCCAGGGTTAAAGAGTCAACTGATTTGACCAAAAATGGCAACATTTTTAGTCACCGCAATTTTCCTTGGACGCCATTGGCTAATTCAGTTTTTCAGTCCTGGATTAATTATTTATTGTTCGATTTGTATAAAACAAAATTTATATGCTCTGTGGTCCAAAATTTCATTTATTTTGTTACCGGTAAAGTTACCTTTCGGCAATGGAAGTGACGTAAATTTAGCAAAAACTATAATTTTGACAGTTCGGTACTACTTTTTGAAAGCAAATATTATTTTTTTCAAATCTGGTATGACTGAAAGGGTGTGCCCTGTAAAGGCGCAGAAAACATTGGGCTCAGTTTTTTTAAATTCGATTTCGTTTTCGGGTCATTTTGATTTAAAGGTGAAAAAAGGTGAAAAAATGAGCTATTCACAACCAATTCAGGCTTTTCATATTCTAAAATATTTCTTTGCAACTTTCATAAACATGTAGTAATAATCCATACGAAGAGAATGTATGTGAAAATTAGATTGTAATATGAGCAGTTGCTGAGAAATGGTCAATTTTGCACGAGTCACTTTTTATGCTATTTTGCCTGTAAAAGAGTCAATTATTATTGGATTTTCATAACAGTGACACCATTTGATGCGTAATGTCAATTGTGACCAATTCAAACCATTTTAACATTTTCAATGTTACGGAAATGACGTAATTTTGGCAAAAACTGTATTTATAGCCTTTAAAACAAATAATTTATTCAAATTCCAATCAACTAATAGAATGAACCCATACGATCATATAGATATCACAAAATGGTTTCTAACTTGTTCAGTTGCGGAGATTTTCAACAGGTCACTTTTCAAGATTTTTGGTCCATAAAAGTGTCAATTATTTTTCGATTTTCATAAAATTTCCAGTGTGTGACACCTAATGCCATTTACGATTTTATACAAGTAATTTAACGTTTTCATTATCACCGTAAGTAACGTGATTTTGGCAAAAACTGTATTTTTAGCCTCTAAAAAAAATACTTGTTTGAAGTAAACGATATTCATTATGCATATAAAATTATGATATTTGATTCCTATGGACAAATAGTATAAATCAATACGATCATATTGATATCACAAAATCGTTTCTAACACCTTCCCTTGCCAAGAAATAACAAATTTTGTCATGATCACTTTTTAAGATTTTTCGCATTTTAATTTCAGTTTATGGGTTCTGGGTTAATTATTTATTGCCTGATTTGTGTAAAATAAAAGCCCATATGCACCGAGGTGCAAATTCTCAACTTTTTTTCGACCGATAAAAGTTTCTGTCTGCACCGGAAGAGGCGTGATTTTGCCCAAAACTTCAATTTTGATGTTTCGAAAGGACTTTTAAAAAGTAAATATTAATGTTTACAAATCTAATAGGTCAATATGAATGCTCCTACTAAAGACGCAAATTATGTATTGCTTAGTTATTTTTTTATTTCGGTTTTGCATTTGCACCATTTTGATTTAAAGGTAAAAATGAGCTATTTACAATGCATTCAGACTTTTCATATTTTAAAATATTTCTTGACAACTTTCATGAACCTGTAGCATTAATCCATACGATGACAATGTATGTCAACATTAGTTTGTAATATAAGCTGTTGCCAAGCAATAGGCAATTTTGCATGAGTCACTTTTCAAGTTATTTTACCTGTAAACAAGTTAATTAAACCGATTTTCTATTTATTTTTTCACCATGTAATCTCTAATGCCATTTTTGATTGGGCGGGACCAATTTTACATTATCACTGTCCCTGGAAATGATGTCATATGGGCAAAAACTGTACTTTTAGCCTTCAAAACAAATATTTTATTTTACTGTGTCGTATTAGTAATTTGTTTATAAATAAGATATCAGCTTCCAATCAACAAATAGATGGAACCCATGAGATCATATAGATATCACAGAATGGTTTCTTACTTCTTCAGTTGCGGAAAAATAGACAATTTTCTACAAGGTTTTTGGTCCATAAAAGTGTCAATTATTATTTGATTTTCATAAAATTTTCACCATGTTATGCCTCATGCCATTTACGATTTATCACTGGAAGTAATGCCATTTGGCAAAAACTGTATTTTTAGCCTCAAAATGAATATTTGTTTTAAGTAAGTGATATTCATTATTCGTATAAAATTATGATATTTGATTTCAATGGACAAATAATATGAATCAATATGATCATATAGATATTAAAAAAGTGATTCTAATGTCTTCTTCTTGTGCTGAGAAATAACCAATTTTGTCAATATCACTTTTTAAGATTATTCGCATTTTAATAAAGAATTAATTCTGTTCAAATTTTAATCAATTGTCTGTCATGCAAAGGACAATCAAAGTGTTTTTTTCTGTAATCCAATTTAAATATTTTGTTGAAAATGGAAGCGATGTCATTGTGTTGAGTCTTCGTTGTATAAATGGAACTGATATTGCTAGATTTATTGGCTAATTCTGCACCCATTTCATTTTAAAACACATGTGCAATGCAAATGTGGAAAACTGTTTAACGTTTTCATTGTTAGGGAAGTGACATCAGTTCAAGAGTAACGTGGCACTGGTAAAACACGTCATTACTGCGTGACTGCGTCGCAGTTCTAGTTAAATTTGTTTTGCAAACAATAACTGATTTATGTTTTATCTTATACTACCGAATTAGACCAGTTCGCCTGTTGATTTTGAAGGTTTTTAGTCAAATTCAAGGTCATCATTATGCAATTGGTATCCAGACTTTAACTAATGGATGTTTAATCTGGTTATGGATTACATGTCACTTAAAAATCAAAATAATAGACTAAATTTTGAAAGTATGTCAGATTTTTAAAAAATGAAACCAGTTTATATCCGATAAATTGGCCCTAGAATTGTGTGTTAATGATCAAGTTCATCTTAAATTTACATATTGTCGTTTACAGGTTGTATATATTCAACAGAAATCACTAGAAACAACTGAAATTGTAGATAACACTTACAGAAATTCTACACAATTAGAGAATGATATTAAAGATATGTTTCATGGTATTAAAGGTAGGTTACTATCTGGTTAACTAATAACAGATTAAACAGCACATGTATATGATTTTTAAGAAAAATGGTCCAATGAAATAGACTTTTGTAGAAGAGAGAGAAATTTGTTGATCATTTACTTGACACTAATCAGGTCATTGGTGCATTTTTATTTCAATAATTTGATCCGTTTGAGGAAACCTCACAAGGTTAAACCAGGTCACATACAAAATCGGGATTGAACCCATGACTTGACACACAGAGGATGTGTTGGACCACTCAACCACCCAAACTCTATGATTGGTAGAAGAACCCACGATAGAGTACAGTTAAATCTGTCACTTCCGACATCATACAGGATCGTTAAAATATTCCAGATTACACAGCATGACAGAATACTCAATACCAAAAGTATTATTGTACCTTCAGTTGTATATCGCTGTTGTATTTGGTGGCAAAAATTTAATATTTACGTTGCTATACATATCCAAGATAATATATATGAGATGGTGCATTATCCGAATAAATAACACTTGTCATCCATGCCTTACGATTGGCCGTTCAATTGACTGACAGGTTGTTTTTTGCCTTTAATAAATTGAGGATTTTCTGCTTTACCGATTGCAAGAGGCTTCAGTTTCTCATAGGTCGCTCTACTACAAAATAAGATATTGAATCGTTCTATTGAAATTTTTCCACCTTTAGCATGCAGAATTTGTAACGGTACCGATATCAACGCCCGCACTTTCGTCACTAACTTTAAAGTCTTTGATGTTGAAACCACTTGTGCATCATTCTGTCGATATCAAGGTAATCAACAAAGACTGGCACGAGTATTAATCTCACAGATAATTGATTGGTGATTGTTTGTCAATCTTTTATAAGTTAACTCCCACTGAGTGAAGGCTGGATAATACAATGTTAATTCAATGCAAATCATGTAATGAGACTGCCGATTGATGTCGTAATATTCAGAATACAGACTACTCAAATTTTTTGGGTTGAAGTAATATGGAAATTAATCGGAACATGAAAATGATGACCGATTTCACAATGCTGTAGTATTCATAACTGGGTGTGACAGAGTCCTCTGCATATAATACTTACTAGAGAATGTTTGAATAAAGGACTTTCGTATCCACATTTGACAATTTATTCTTACTACTTTTAGATGATGCTAAAAAATTGGTAAGCTTAATGCAGAAACTGATTCTTGATAAAGTTGGATTGAATGTGACCGCTGCACTTGAAGAAGCAAAAACCATTTATAGAAACATAGAGGATCAGACAAATTCTATTTCTGACAGCAAAGCATATGATGAAAAATGGTTAGTTCATAAATCCTATTATATTCGTTTTCTGTATCTTTTTATTTTGCATGATTATTCGATCTTAAATACTTTTGATACAATCAGTTATTCAAATTTCTTAATTAAAAAGGATAGACTTTTTATCTATATGAAAAGACATTAATTAACTCATCATGTTTTGAAATATTTTTATTAGGCTAGCAGAGAAATTATTAGAAAGAGTCATAGACAAGAATGAAATGAACTTCAATGGAAATAAAGTTACAAAGAAAATCAATGATGCATTGACAAGTCTTAAAGATCTCCGGGAGAGAGCTAAATATGCTCGTAGAACAGCAAAAAGAGTGATAGATGAAGAATTTGCTAGATTAGCTACTGTTTTGATAAATCTTGAGGTTCGTTGGGCATTTAATTATGAACTTGGCTCATGTTCTCCTGGTTACTGGTCAATCCTCCACTGATCATTGACAGGGGATTAGTGCTTACCCAGGGTTCCATTTTTTTTTCCCTGCCAGATTTTCATTTAAAGGGTAAGACCAATGATTTTGAACAAGATTTCCAAAAATCTTAATTTAATGGACATTATAAAATAATTTGCTCTGTAACACAAGCAAATAGGTTTTTGTAAGCAAGAAATGAATTTTTTTTAAAACCGGAAGTGGTTCAACATGCTTACTGGTCTCTATAGTAAGCATACAGATTTGGCATAAGTTTGCTGTCGTATATTGTTCACGCGTCGTCGTTTGGATGAGAATCCGACCATATTTGGATATTATAAATATGAATTATGTTTTTTTATACGCCCACATTTTCATGTGGACGTATTATGCCCCTGTTTGTCCAGACGTCGAGACGTCTATCTGGACATCCGTTCACAATTTGTTTGTGGACACTCTACAGGTCACAATTTTGATCCAATTTTGACGAAACTTGAAATATACGTCTATCTCCCAAAGATCTTGGTTCCTTTTGATATTGGCATGTATCGGACCATAACTTCATGGATTATGGCACCTGATTGTACGCAAAATCACGTTTTAGCTTTTGGACACTCTAGATGTCACAATTTTGATCAGATTTTGATGAAACTTGAAATGCATGTTTATAACCCAAATATCTTGTTTCTCTCTCTCTTTCTCTCATGCATATCGGATCGTATTTCCCCTGATTGTACGAAAAATTGCGTTTTAGCTTGTGGTCCCTCTAGCTGTCACAATTTTGATCCGATTTAAAAAATCGTTTCAGTATATCACCGTTACACCCAAATGATGGTTGAGTATGAATTTCATGAAAATTGCTCCAAAACTGCCAGACAAAATGGCCGCCCCTTCTGGTATAACAAGGTTGTGGACTGCCTAGAGGTCACAATTTTGATCTGATTTTGATGAAACCTGAAATGCATGTTTATAACCCAAAGATCTTGGTTCCTTTCAATATTCACGCATATCGGATCGTAACTTCCTGAATTATGGCCCTTGATTGTACGAAAAATCGCGTTTTTAGCTTGTGGAACCTATAGAGGTCAAAATTTTTATCTGATTGAAAAAAAAAAACGTGTGAATATATCACAGTTATACATTAATGTTGGTTGAGTTCGAATTTTGTGAAAATCGTACAAAAACTGACGGACATAATGGCCGCCCTTTGTACGCAAATAGTGTAAAAATATGGTGTATTAAAGATACATTATGGGAGATAAGATAAAGAGATGGCAGTTCTTGCTATAATAGTTAAAAACTAGATAGTGTAAAGGTAGTTTGCTGAAAATTTCAGTCAAATTGATCCACTATGAGCCGAGAAAGAAGCGAGTGAAATTTTTGCATAGTCTCGGTCATCATTACTAAAATCATTAATATAAACAGCATAGTCTCGATTATCCACTTTTTCTGATTTAATTATCAACGGCCGTTAGCGGCATATAAGAATCTAATCCAGCCAACATCAAAGGCTAGCCTTGACATCGAGAGTTTATTATGGTCTGGATAAGTTAATTAATGTCTAATTGATAATTTAGATAACATTTCAGGCCTAAAGAAAGACTTGTAATAAGCAGATTTTGCTCTTGCATAATGCATGGTTAAAGTTGTGGACTCTCTAGTGGCTACAGTTTTTATCTGATTTGGATGAAACTTTAAATATAAGTTTTTATCATTACGATCTTGGTTCCTTTTGATAGTCACACATATACGAATGTAACTTCCTGGATTATGGCCCCTGATTGTGCGAAAAATCACATTTTTGTCCCCCGCCTTTCGAACAATCTGACCAAAACACAGATCCTATTTCGTTTCATGTTTTATAGTTCAAAATATCATTTTACTTGTCTTTACTACACTAGGATCTGGAAGAGTTGTTATATAACCCGCATTCTGAATGATGTGAGGGTTTAGCCAATGAAACGGTCTGTTACGCCGAGTTTTTAACGCGAGGTGCACGGAACTGTGGGTAACCCACAAAAACATCAATGTTGATTGGCTTATCATATATCTGAAGTCATATACGTATGACCCCTGACACGGCCCCAAACTAAAACTGGTCAGATCTTTATGTAGTGTAGGCTATCGAAAGTATAAGAAAACGAAACAAAATATAGATCTGTATTTAAAACAGATTGCCTTTCGAGGAAAGCAGGGGACTATTAAAATGGGTTTGTCTGTCTGTCTGTCTGTCCGTCCGCGACCACAATTTGAAAAATCTTGTGGACGCTCTATAGGCTAAAGTTAATATCCGATTGACTTTAAATTTATACACAGTGTTAAAGGTCATGAGACGAAGAAGCCTATTGATTGTCAGTGATTTCCGATGATTACTGCCAGAGTTATGGCCCTTGATCACTTTGAAAAATCTTGTGGACGCTCTAGAGACTAAAGTTAATATTCGATTGTTTAAGGTCATGCGACGAAGAATCCTATTGATTTTCAGCGATTTCCGATAATAACTGTCAGAGTTATGGCCCTTGATTACTTCAAAAAATCTTGTGGACATTTACTTCAAATCGCTGTGATTTCGAACCGGAAGTTAAGACCAACTTGACAACTTCTTTAATAGTTGCACGATTTTTATGAAATTTAGTATGTAAGTAGATCTTCTCGATGCGACTTGAAAGATTTCATTAGAAATGTTCTAAATTATCTCCCCTTGATGAAATTAAGAATCAAATTTTTTAAATAAATTGACGAAATATAGGTCAGATTGCTTTGAATTTTTTTTTTCTGTACTAGCTAAGAAAGTACTGATATGTACACAAAATATGAAGTCTGCCGATTGAACCGGAAGTGCCACCATCTTACAAATGCATTTGACCTACATTGCTGTGACCTATTTTACTATTTTTTTTCTTTGAGTACATTGAAACATTTACTTCAAATCTGCAATTTCGGATTTTCGAATTTCAAAAATTTGTCGCTATGATTTCGAACCGGAAGTTTAAACCAACTTGACAACTTCTTTAATAGTAGCACGATTTTCATGAAATTTAGTTTGTAGGTAGATCTTACCGATGCGACTTGAAAGATGTCATTAGAAATTTTCTAAATTATCTCCTCTTGATGAAATTAAGGATCAAAGTTTTCAAAAAAATCAACGAAATATAGGTCAGATTGCCTTGAATTTTTTTTTCTGTACTAACTTAGACAGTATTGATGGGTACACAAAATATGAAGTCTGCCGATTGAACCGGAAGTGCCACCATCTTAAAACGTGAAAAATCCATAAGGCTTTTGCAATATTTTACTTACAGACATGGGAGTTACATTTTCTAAATCCTTGAAGGAATGCCTAAAAATCTATCGGATTTGAAATTTGATCTAGGTCAATTGATGGAAACCATTTTGAACTGAATATGAGAAAAAGTGAAAAATCGACAATATGAAAATGAAAACAATAGGCCGTAGTTTGGAGAATACTTCTCCTATTTCGAAAATGAATACATTTCTGGATAGCCGGGATCAGGGTCCAATTTATGGTATTTGAAAATGTCACAATTCTGTCTGAATTTTGCCTTTGTCGTTTTTCGTGCCGACAGAGTTGTTTACGAGTGAAAAATCGCATTAACTTCGCGAGTTTTTGACCAATTTTAATTGTTTTTTTTATCTTGTTGAGATTCTTTATATGACCCTTGACATGTAACAGGAAGTGATTGTGAATATGAAAGCTTTCATATCTGCTTAGCAGATCTAGTTATTATTATTATTATTATTATTATTATTTACCCCGGGAGCCTATTTCTCCATGGTTGAAAACAGATATCGATCTGGTGGTTACTTAATAAAGTATTTTTGAAACTTCTGCGCGGACCGGAAGTGGCCGAATTTTGAATCGGCCATGGTTTCGCCAATTCTTTACCTATTTTAAAACAATTCACATTTTTGGAAACCCCGAATCTTTTCCGAGACAATGGGTAATCACCCTTTATTTTTCGAATTTTTTCGAATTTTCTGCCCATTTTGTCAGCTCGAGTTCCATTTTACGGCCGAATCGACGTTTCTGAAACTTCTGGAACATGAAGTTATAGTCCAAATCCAACTGATAAAGCTATTTCGACATGGATCCTTAAACCGGAAGTGGTCGAAAAAATGTCTGATACAGTGGACTCTGTCACATCCTACATCGTACGGGATCGTTACAATATGTCAAATTACGCAGAGCGTCGGAATACCCAGTTTTCTCAAAACGGGAAATATTATTATTATAATGTATCTTCGAATCACCAGAATGTTATTCCCTTTAAAACGATAAACCTTTCTGTACATTCAAAATTTTATTACATTAATTTTTATTTCATTTAACATGCGTAGGCATTTTGAATAGGTCAGGTATGTCGTTAATTTATCTTCTTTACCGTCTTCAGTTGATCGCACTCTTGTCTTTGCTATCACGTGTTCATTGATAATGGGCGAACTCGATTGAACGTTCCGGAATTGAATTCTCTCAATCCAAAAAATAGTGACAATCGGGCTACAACGCATGCGTCGACTGGATATATAAATATCTCATCAAACCATGCAGCCAAAACCTGTTCGTCGAGTTTAATTACGTCACAATTCTACTCACACCACCTCCGTCACTCGATTGCAATTCTGTTAATTCGGAACGTTCCGGACTGGGAATTGAGCATCACCAGTCGAAGTGATCCGTAGGATGACCAAAAATAGGTTATTCAGGTTCAATCAGCATGCGCAACGAATGTTTCCAACAGGTGATTGGAATATTTTTACGACTATGAATTCAGGAGAAAATTCGTGGATATTCTTGAGTATTTGTCACAACTGACGTACAAGGGATTAAAATTATCAAAGTAATCAACACAGACCAGCGCTAGCGAGTTTTAATCTCATAGATAATTGATTGGTGATTGCTTGTTAATATTTTGTGGCTTCACACCCATCCAGTTTTA